TTTTTATATCGTAACATGCTTTGAAGAATCAAACTGTCACAAAATCAAATTGCTCGTGATTTAAAATCATTGTTAAATGTTGTTGCAAGCTATGGATTTGTTGTTTGTTATGGGTTGTGTCTTTGCTTCCTTACATAACACGTTCATATAAGCAGAAAGAAATTAAAAATTTATTAATAAAATAAGAACAATAAGTAGCACACACAGCACAATAAGCAGCTGGAAATAACTCGAGGAAAATGCAGATATGAAACAATTTCTCCTTAGCACTTCAAATAAATTGCAAATTACCACCTTTAATCGTAATTCAGCTAACCACCAAATCTCACATGTGATTCACAATTGAATTCCCTAGCTGTTTGATGTAACCTTCCTGATGACTCGGTTGTAGGGCTTTAAAAATGTGTTTTCAGGAATCTTTCAGAAGGCTGCCAAGTTGGCAGGAAATCACTAAATGTCACCAACATGGTGACAGAAGTTCTTACCAAGGCTGTTTAAGAACAAAATTGCCTATGTTTGGCATCTAATATAGCTATTTCTGCAATAGCTGCCTTCACAGATCCCAGCAATAAATAAGCACTTAAATACAAAAATGTTGCCACAAATTAGATTTATCACAAAATAAACCTTAAAATTAACATTTTAAGAGCAATAAATAAATAAAACAATATAAAACACTACAGCAATACAGACAAACAAGAATACAATGAAATTCTATTAAAATATTTATAACATTGACATTTCCTTAAGAACTGCACATCCTGGGCCGTGCAGTCCCCAAGACCAGGGAGAACTAATTCTGATTACCATAAAAAGTTGTAAGTATATCATAGTGCACTACCTTAGGTTTAGAAGGTATTCTTTGTATATGCATCACTATGTTGTTAAGTTTCTTGACCCTTCCTAGGATGTGTGTAGCTTGGGAGAGATTCTATGACAATGCTTCGAGTTGAAGAGCCAGACTTGATCTCCTTCCTTAAATTGTCTGCCACCAACTTGGCATCATATCTCAACTTCAACCTCTTGGTGGCTCTGTTGATCCTTTGCATGGTGAACTGAGGAATGTCCTCTAACTGTGCCTGCAGATCTTCCAAGTACTGCTTAGCCAAAGAAGGCATATCTGGCAGTTGTCCAAAGAGCAGGTCACTTGGCAGGTGAAGATCACAGCCAAAAGTCATTTGTGACGTAGAAAAATCCAGTGCTATAATGAATAGCACTCTCATACGCAGCAGAAATAATGACAGTTTGGGGATTCCAGTCTTGCTGGCTCCAGGATACAAATGAGAGATATGGTCCAAGATTTTTAACTTGAATCTCTCCACCATGCTGTCCAACTGTGGGTGTAAAGGAGTGTTTAAGTCTTTTCCATTCTGAGAATTTTACAGTCCTTTAAATATAGATTATATGAAGTTTGTTCACTGATCAGAATGAATAAGGAGAGACACTCTAAATCTTGAAATCCTTTTCTTCACTAGGACTTCTACGGTTGAAGTTTCTTGATCAGGGATAGTATAAGCTTCGGCCATTTACTAAGGTTGCCTATAACAACTAGGATGTACTTGTTATCCTTAGCTGTATGAGGTAAAGGTCCAAGAATGTCCAGAGCAATGCCTCTCAAAATGGTACTCCCACACTGTAGGGCTGTAATCTTCCCTGTATATATGTGCAGGTCCACATGATTTGCACCACTTTTCTAGACCTGCTTTGGACCTGAAGAAACATTCACAAATTTTGGGGAGTATCTTTGTTACACTAAATCAGCTTCTAGTAGTGCTGCTATAAAGCTGTGACAGTACACTATTCACACTATGATTTTGGTAAGATGAACTGCATTTGAAACTCTTTCCTTCATCAGCATCCCATTTGCTGTAGTTTATATTGACAAAAAGAGCATATATTATGTGTATGAACTATTGTAAAGTGTGAGCAAATATTGACTGAAGCCAAATATGTTGCTAACCTTAATTAAAAATATAAATGAGCAAAACTTGCATGTGAATAAATGCATGCATATTGTCCACTGTGTATCTTTTCAATTACTATTTTATATAGTTTCTCAGAATTTGGGATTTATAACCTGGAATTCAGAACATTACATTTTGAAATTCTGGAAAATGGCCAAATATTGGTATAATTTATATATTTTTATTTGCATACACAAGTTTACTGACATTATGCCAAACCTTATAGCAAATAAGTGAATTCTTTAGCATTTAAGAAATATTCTTGATGGTGGAAAGTTTAAGTACTTTCTGATTATCCACATCCTTTCCAAAAAATTGCAAGAAAGTATTCACGAGGCAACAAGGAATGCGGCCATGTTATGAGGCAAACATTTTTTGCATTGATATTTCTTTTTACAGTGAGTTATACTTTTTCCTTGTAATGAATCTTAATGGGACTTTGGAATTTATCAGCTGATGAAAAGGAAGTATTGCAGCTCTGCAGAAGTGTGGTAACAATAGGAAACTTAACAATAGAGAATGCAAAAATTTACATTTTATGAAGTTATATTTCTCAAACTACTGACTTAAAAAAAATACATGCAGTGTGAAAAATTAAAAGTAGAGTATTAGAGAATGCAGGTTAAAAGCTGGTTTGAAGATAGCCATATCTTTAGCTATTTGCTTTGTTTGATGTTGGCCTGTAAACAATACTGAAACTGTGCATGATGCCAAATTTGTGCAGTTTTCTGTTTTCCCCTCTCCTTATTTAGTGAAAATAAATTAGGTACATGGGAAGAACACCACTGCAAAAAAATTGCAGAAATGTTTCTTGAAAAATGTAACCAATATTGTTTATTGCTGATGATTTTGCTTTTTTAATTTTATTTATTGATTGCTCTGTTATGGTATTTTTAGTGGAATATCTTGAAAATGACTCTTGTCTTTGGCACATGAGCTTGATAAAAAATTAGTTACTAGTGAGATCACAAATGTTCTCCAAAATTGCCAATGAGTTTTGACTTTTTGATAGTACTTGAGTGAATAATCTGAACATACTAAGTTTTTAAAACATTTTAAAGTAATTTAAATGTTTTTGAGGTCTTATTCATTTATAACCTTCCTATTTTAGAAAGATATAGCATACAGATAAAATAATTTTAAAACTTTTACTTAATGCAGAATTTAAGTAGTAGTATGAAAAAAAATTAAAAGATTAACTATCTGTGATGCTTATTAATTTCAATTTATATCATTGATCTCAGTTTATTTTCTGTAACTGCAATAAATATAATAAACATTGGTACTTTGTTATATTAAATTTTGATTTCTCAGTGATATTTTTGCATTGTTAATACATTTGAGGTTCTTTTAAACATATTTTACTTGAGTGATTAAGACTGCTGTCATGCATGAAGGTGTCCCATCTTTTAGCAGGTAGCTTTCTTGTGCTTTGCTGTATTTGAAATAACTTAATTGATAATTCAGCACAAATTCAAGTAAAATATGATTAAGATTTTATGATTTGAACAAATGAAGTAGAAGCATTTGCTATTTATTTCATGGAAATGGCACAGCGTTGCAAAAATTGCTGAATATTGTGAATACAGTCAAAAGTCGTTAATCCGGACTCGTTGGGACTTCGTCGATTCCGGATTATCGATTTTTCCGAATTATAGATCATCAGTTTAAATCTGGTAACATGGCATGCAGAAATTACAAATATAAAAATATGAAACCGTAATTTATGAAATAAAGAACAATTATGATCTAAAGGGTATCAAAATTTACAAAAAGAAAAAGCTTAATATTTATTTGTTTACTTTATTAAACATTTCTTTCAATGTAAGTTGTTTAAATTGCTTCATTTCATGTGACAATACTTTCTCTTTAATTCTATTAAACAGATATAATTTCTTGTTTAGTTACAAAGTTCCGCTGTTCAAGTCCTATAATTGCTGTGTTGAGAATATAATTTGTCAGTCGAAATATTTTCGTTTTCAATAACCTCTCTCTCACTTTCTTCACTATCGGAAGCGAATTATAATGACGAGGAACTTGATTTAAATCATATCAAAGACGGAGTACATCGAGATGAAATACCACATTTAGTAAAAAATTATAAGCCAAATAAAATAAAAACATCTGCCCTGAAGATAAGGATAGTGCTGACGGATCAACTTCCAATTCATTGCGCGCCACAGCGTTTCTCCCCCCCTGCCGCAAAGCAGCGTGAAATTGATAAACAGATTTCGGATTTCAAAACATACTTTCGTTTTGTAGATCCTTTACATATTAGTAAATATATATCGGAAATTCTATATTACATAATTGAAAGTTCAGGCTTACTTTTATAAAATTGCTCTAACGGTCTGCAAAAAATAATAAGCTGGATCCAATTCGAAGATTAAGGAACAACGCAATCTGGAACATTAACTGAATTAGATAATTACTTAGCTTATACCATCCGTTATACATTAAACGCGCAGGCGTAAACGTATTATGCGCTTGTGCACACGCATATTCGCAGCCGTAAAGGTCTTATGCGCACGCGTAAACGCTTATGGGCATGCATCAACGCGACGCATGCGCAGAAAGTTTGTAGCTTTGAGGTCCGCATTATGGGTGTCCGAATTAACGACTTTTGACTGTATTTAACTTGTGAAAGATCATTTTAAATTTATCTAACTGAAAATCCATTGAAGTTTTGCTGCAAATAAAAATGCAAAAATTTAAACATGGATAATTTTTCTTCTGTATTAGATTAATTTCTTAAAAGCATGATTATGTAAGATAAATAAATCATCTGTTATTGAAGTTTAAATTTTCAAGAGTGAAAATGGACAAAATTTAAGTTTACATTCTTTAAACACCAACTTCTTGAATATAATATTAAGTATTGAATGCTGCTTGCTTCAAAAAATGTATTTATTAAACCATTCTCTTAATTTTTATTATATATATATAGATAGGCATATTCTTTTTGTTCATGGAAGAATATTTCTGTTGATAATATGGATTTTTTATTTATAGGAGTATTTTTCCTGTATTTTTCAGTTAGCAGAGAAAATTGAAGATGCCAGTTTCCAATTTGTGGATAAAAAGGCATGGCCAGTTTCATATCCCCAAGAAGAAAAACTTACTGCTTGGGATGTATGTGTTGAAGAACATTACTTTAATATAATTAAAGCATCTACCAAAAGGAAAATGAGCATTAGCAATAACAAAATTAAAAGAAGACCTTCTAAGTAAGTAATTATGTTATCCAAATACGAGTTTTTTTGAAATTGTAGTTACCCTAGATTTGATGATCAAAATTAAGCAGTTTTAAATCACCATATTGTCCAAATCATATATCACAAAAATTTAAATTGATACACATGAACAAAATCAATAAACAGAGTTAAACACAACTTGAAATGCACAAAATATGAAATCTAAAGCAGTGCATAAATAATATTTTTTAAAACTCAGCAAATATACATTAAACTTATGTAACATCTACTGGTAGTACAGCTAATTTAGTTATTGGCCTACTTTAAAAGACCCGATTTGGTTTTTACAATGCAAACTGTAACCTTTTTATCCTTACCATAAATTAGTTCTTTGATTTTCCCCTAGTAACCAAGTTGAAATGGGCATATTGTCTTCCTTTACCCAAACCATGGTGCCCTTTTTAACGATATCCTTAGAAAAATACCACTTAAATCGTTGCAATAAACGACTGGTATAATCATTTTGCCACCTTTTCCACAAATATTGGGTTACTTTAGTAGTGTGCTGCCAGCGCTTTAAAGAATTATTAGAGAAGTCAGTTAGATCAGGCTCCGTTATAGATGTTGAAATTTGACCAACTAAAAAGTGTGCAGGTGTAAGTTCTTCTAAATCATTTGTGTCATTTGACAGGGGGATATTGGATGTTAATTTAAAATTCCTTCTTTGCGGTTCAAAATTGTAAGAACTTACGACACAATAATACACTAAACACACTAAAAGGCACACTCTTGTTTTAGGAGATTATAAAAATTCTGTTGTCATTCCCTTCTTTCCATCAATTAGCTATAAAGTTGCACATATTTTGCAGAAATTTAACTTTCGGGTTGTTTATTCTCCCATCAATAAAATTCTGAGCTCCATACTCAAGGACCCCATTCTGGATATGAATTCCTGGGGTATTTATAGAATTTCTTGCCAGTGCGGTTTAATTTACATTGGCCAAACTAAGAGAGCCTTGAAATTTCGCGTCAAGGAACATGAGGCATATGTTAGAAAAAAGGAAACACAGAAGTCTTCTGTTGCTCAACATTGTTGGTCCGAAAATCACACTTTCAATTTTTCTGCTGCCAAAATTATTCAAAAAACATCTTCCATTGGAAAACTGTATTTTCTAGAGGCATTTCACATTCATAAAAATCTTCCTGTTTTAGTTAATGATCCTAATTCCAATCCAAATTTGCCTTCGGCCTTTAAAGAAATTATGTTTTTTACTTCTGGTTTAACCAACAGATGGCGCCACTTGCTTATTCTTGTCCAGACTTTCTTATCTTATCTAATCATTATTTCCTATCTTGTTCATTTGCGGTTTTGAAGCTGAGGATGGTGGTTCTGTAAAACCATAGAAACTAGTCCTGTGAAAATTTTGTAAATATAATGCTGATTTTTGTTGTTCTTTCTGAATTGTAAGAACTTGCTCAAATGCAAAAATTAACCCCCTAACTGTACATTTAAGATAAAACTTAAACAATGTAACAGCTGCCTCCCTGATACCTCCAAAGTGAGGAGCATTAGGAGGGATAAACTTACAATGAATCCTTTCAGATGTCATGTATTTGGTTAAGAATTCATCATGTTATTTTACCGCATTGTATAGTCATTTCAATTCGTTGCTAGCCCCAACAAAATTTCGAGCACTGTCACTAAATATGGATGCACATTTCCCTCTTCTAGAAAAAAATTATTTTAAGGCTGCAATAAATGATTCTGTAGATAAATTTGAAACAGATCTCTAGGTGGACTGTTAGAGTCGAGAGGCAACCAAAAATTGCAACATAAATCTTGTGCACTATGCTCTTCCTCTGTATTGTATATTTTATACCAAAAGGGCCACAAAAATCAACACCAGTGTGTTTAAAGGAAAAGGACGGATTTAGTCTCTCTAATTGTAAATTACCTATCTTTTGATCCAGCACTACTGGTTTTACCTTGGCACACATTACATATTTTCTTAAGATCTTTCTAGCAAGATTACATCTACTTATTGGCCAAAACCTTTGCCCAACACTACACAAGAACGCTTATGTTCCAGTATGAAAGTTTCGAATATGGTGGTCTAACATAATGAAATGAGTCAATTTATGATTTTTTGGCAAGACAGCAGGGTGCTTTGTGTTAAAAGGCAAGTTAGCTTCCTGCAATCTACCACCTACTCTAATAACTTGAGATTCATCTAAAAAAGAACATAAAAATTTTAACTGACTATTTTTACTTACTTCCCTTTTCTTATGTAACTCCTTAAATTCTTCAAGAAAGCCTTGCTGTTGGACTAAGGAAAGCGATTTCCTTTCGCTTGAAGAAACCTCTGCTGTCAGAGGACATAGTTGTTTTTCCTTGGATCTACAGTTTCTTATAAATCTTAAAATATAAGAAAAACATTAATTAATGTAGTATAACAATTAATGATACTACAAACATAATCCAAAAGAGAATTGTTAACTGTCAAATTTACATTAGAAATAAGTTTCAGTTCATGCACATAGTTCTCATTTGATTTTTCCAAGTTGTAATTAAGATGGTTATAATTAATGGCCTGTTGATGTAGAAAATTTGGTCCTTGATATCATAAAGAGTTATCACCAATATTTTCCGGGTTCAGACTACGAGAAATTAGGTCAGCAGGATTAGCTGCGGTTCTGACATGTTGCCAGGAGAAAACCTTAGTTAGCTCTTGGATACGAGCTACTCTGTTTAACACGAATACTTTTAGAAGATGAAAAGATGTAGCAAACCAGGCTAACACTACTGTTGAATCTGTGAACAGAATAACGTTGTCAATTTGTAAACTCAAAGATGTTTTTACTTTACACACAAGTTTGGAAAGGAGCTCTCCTGCACACAACTCCAGACGAGGAATGGTTATTACCTTGGTAGCCGATCCTCGAGATTTACTGCAAAGCAAAGTCACTTTAACCAAAAGGGCCACAAAAATCAACTTCTCAACACACTCTTGTTTTAGGAGATTATAAAAATTCTGTTGTCATTCCCTTCTTTCCATCAATTAGCTATAAAGTTGCACATATTTTGCAGAAATTTAACTTTCGGGTTGTTTATTCTCCCATCAATAAAATTCTGAGCTCCATACTCAAGGACCCCATTCCGGATATGAATTCCTGGGGTATTTATAGAATTTCTTGCCAGTGCGGTTTAATTTACATTGGCCAAGGTTTTGGAGAGCCTTGAAATTTCGCGCCTTGAAATTTGGAGAGCCTTGAAAAAATTGGAGAGTTTTGAAATTTCGCGTCAAGGAACATGAGGCATATGTTAGAAAAAAGGAAACACAGAAGTCTTCTGTTGTTCAGTTTCAGAGACACAACGCAAGTAGATAGTTCCACCATATCCAAACTTTGAAGTATCAGCAAAACAGTGGAGCTCGATTTCTTTAGTTGATTCTATAAGAGTAACAAGCAACCTTGACTTGTCTCAACTGTGGTGAGGCCTTTTGAAATGTCTCCTATTCTTCTGTCTATTTGAAAGGAAGTGGATCATCCCACTCTAGATGTAAAAGCCACAGCCGTTGCAGAAAGATCTTAGCACGCATGATTACAGGCCCTTGGAAATCTAAAATATCAAACAATTATCTGCCAAAACCGAGTGCTTAGTACAGATGTTAGATGAACTAGACATAGTAGAGCCTTCTGAATTCCATCTTAAACCTGGAGTTTTTATGGTGCTTCGTGAAGATTCTTCAAAATGATACTCTTGTTTTTCGAATGGAACTTATTCTAAAATAATTCTTTTGTTTGAGCACCACTTGTACAATTCCATTTTTGCAGATTGTAGCATGGCTATTAACTGCCACTGCAGCTCTGACATCTTCTGCGCCAGACAAAATGTCATCAACATAAAAATCAATGAGTGTTATTTCGGAAGCTGGTGTATACATATCCTTTTCATCTATGGCTAATTGCTTCAGCACTCTTGTTGCTAAAAGATGCTAATTTTGTTCCATATGTTACGGTAAGTAATTGATAAAGTTTAGATGCATCATTCAATGTATTCTTACAAAGGATGCATTGAAGTTTGCATTGCTCAGGATTTATACAAATCTGTTGATACATTTTGAAGCCACCTTCTATTTTCTAAATAGTAGCAGGATAGAGAACAGGTCATCTTGAACCACATCTCCGTTCATCAAGCAGTCATTGAATGAAAACCCTGATGATGAAGGAGCCGAAGCGTCAATTATCACTCTTAACTTCATTGTATTGCTGTCCGCTCTATAAACACCATGATGAGGCATTATGTATTTAGGAGTCTCCAACACACTCTGCATTTTTTGCATATGCCCTAACGCTTCATATTCACTCATGAATTCACAGCACATCCTAGACATGTCAGAGGTTTTTGTCTAGTCTCTTCCACAAATTTAACCGTTGTGTGGCCAGTAGCGAAGAGTCACCCAACTGAATGAATATCTTGCCTTTATGGTAGAATCACTACATATCAATCCTCGATATCCTGCTGATGTGTTTTCACAAAATGATCCTAACATTCTATTTCTTTATTTTTTATTTTGAAAGACTATAACAGACTCAATTTCCCCCAAAACTTGATTAGTGAAATTAAGTCTTCTTCGGCTTTCATAAATTCATATTGTGTGGATTTGGACCAAAATTTACACCACCAGCAATGTATCCAAACACAGAATTCTGAAAAGTTAAATTCGAATGTAGTGGATGAATTTGATCAGCCTTCAATAGTTCATAAAAGCATTCTGCACTTAACAAGGTATCTATTTTCTGTGGTTTATTAAAATGTTCCGCTAGTTTTATGTTTTGAGAAAGCTGTGAAAATGAAAAACTAATTTACTGGTACTAAATCATTAATTTTAGTTACAACAAAGAATTCAAGAGCTCTGTGGTAATCACGCTTGTTTGATATTACAGGAGTAAGCTTGAATTTTACAGATAGAGCCATTTCATTTAAACATGAAATTCGTTATTAATTTTATTCCGAAGTTATTAGCGAAATCAGAGGTAAAGGAACAACACTGACTTCCACTGCCAAGAAAAGATTGACATGCAATAAAATTCCTTCAAGAATCTTTAACTTAAATAATAGCAGTCGATAATAATACGTCCTTTGAAATCACTTGGGAAGTCTGGTGTCAGCATTTAGCTTCAAATTGTCTACTGAAGGGGATTCAGAGTTATAAGCAGGTATTTCCTCCCTCCACACACAACCTAGTATGGTAGCAGATGATTTCAAAATATCCTGATTGGGGAAATGCAGCAAAGTATGATGAGTTTTCATGCATTTTGGACTGCTAAATTCCGAGTGACATTTCTTTGTAGAATGAGTCGGATTGAAAACCATGCAATTAAAACATAATTTATGTTTCTTAACAAATTCAAGACATTCGCTTACAGTCATTTTCAAGAAAGAATTACATTTATATAACTTGTGAAAATTGTTACTCTTACAACAAATACATTTAAAATCTAGATTTTTAACATCTGACACCAAAGCAGTTACCTTTTGAATAGGTTGACTCTTTTTTACATTTACATTAGATGACTTTGATGACTGCAAAGTTCCAGCATGTTGTTTTAGAAATGTAATAAGCTCAGGTAGTTTAGGTAGCTCATTTGTATTCAAATCTCCTTTCCACTAAAGATGAGCAGAAACATTTAATTTTTGCAGCAAAATATATGCAAGAAAGGTTTCTGAGAATCCCTCTATCTTTTGGTTTAAAATTTCCAGAGACCTTGCACTTTCATTCGCTGTGTCCACTAATTTTAAAATAGAAGACGAGCTCTAATTTTGTATGGGAGAAATTGATATGAAACGCTTTATCTGAGCAAATACCTGTTCACATTTATTGGAGTACCTTTCCCCTAAATTTTATAGTCCAAGCAATTTTATAGCTACTGTCAAAAATTGTGATTGACTGAATAATCCTAGCTGCTTCGCCATGAAGCGATAACTTCAAATATGAGAGCTTTTGGGAATTCGATAATGTATTATTATGAATACTTGAAATGAAAAGATCCCGAAAGCTTAACCAATCTTGAATATTCTCATTAAAAGATGGCTAGTTAAATTTTATACTTTGTGCACTGGTATTTTCAATCTTGCATCTTTAACACTAAGTTTTGACTTTTGACATTTAACTTAAACCCATAAATTATCAATGTTCTCTTGAATAGTTTGCTGTTCAGTTATATATTTATCAAAATCTTTTTTCATAAACTGCTTCAAATAAGTTATTAAAAATATCTGAACACTCATTGTTAAATTTTGCACGTTTATTTTCAAAAAGTTGTAGTTGAAATTCATCACAAGTACATTTTTCAAAATCCGAAGTAGCTTTCGTTATACTTGATTTAAAAATTCTTTTGTTAATTAACAATGCCTCCATATTGTAAAGCTAATTAATAATACAGAATTATATAGACAAAGTCACTTACCTCCATATGAGGTAATCCAGAGGAAAACTGCAAGTGCTATTCGAAACACATTAGTTATGATGAATTCCATATAGCATGTCACACTTTGTATAAATTTAACAACACTTCAAGTTTTAGCTTTTTATCCACAAGCACTAATCTTCCTACTGGGTTGCTAGAATCACAAATGTTTGAGAATAGAATTTAAACACTCAAATATTCATGGAATTCAAACACTAAAATGAATGGATTGTAGATTCTTTATTACATCTGTTAACAGACATTACACACACACACGCACGCACGCACGCACGCACACACACACACGCACGCACGCACGCACACACACACACGCACGCACGCACACACACACACAAGAACTTACATATTTGACTCGGATGGACACTCTTGCCATCCACATCCACATACATATAATTTCACCAACCTGAGCTACTCACTCGATCAATGGCCGCTAGCTTTCCACGTCGTTCTTTTTTTTTACTTGTGGTTGCCAAATCACTCTAGTTAAACATTACTCTTATTTAGATCTTGGCATCACTTCACTTCTGCCTTAACACTTTGTATACGGTACACACAGGATTTGGCAGCATGATGATGAGCAGTAAATGGGTCATTTTGGTGTTGGCGACAATTTTCAAAATCGTGCCAAAGCCGTAGCGAGTACTAGGATTTTATCACAAAACTTTTACTTTCCTTTTAATAAATGCCTTATTTGTCATTTTGTAATAAAATAAAAAAATAATAATTAATCATCTATGCTAACCATTTAATATCCACTATATTCACCAAAATATCGCTGATTATTGTAATTCAAGTTTTAAGCAATTAACTTTATTTTAATGTTATTCGTATCATTTAATGTGGCTTCTTCCCTCTAAATTTATTTATTTATTAGTTAATAATACTTTTAAATTTCATGCAATTTTCTCTGGCATAATCCTGAAGGTAATTCTAGCAGTATGATGACATACTATCACGAAATTTAATGCACATATTTTTTGCTTATATGTGCTGCTAAATAAATACAAAATGCCTGAATTTATTTAAAAAATTCATTAAATAGATTTCTTTCTTTTGTATAACTGCAAAATGTCTTCAAAAAAAGACATTTTTTAATCCATATTCTAATCTCAATCTTAAGTGGAGAAAATAACTCCCATTATAGTTAAAGTAGTAATGGTTTGGTAAATTGGAAAATTTTTTTACTTTCAAGTGGTACGATAATTAATTTACCTCTCAGGATAGCCGATGTGCCCTACATGGACAAACTGGATTAAAAAAAAAGCACCTGAAAAAGTCGGGGAATTTTATTCTCCTCTTTGAGTGGCAACCCTGATGTAACTTCTGTATTCACATTTCCTGAGAAAGAAAATGAAGTTTAGTCATTGTCTAAAATATCTGATGCATATTAATCATCAGATATTTAGTACTTGCATGTTGTCCTAATGACCATGAAGTCATGGAACCGTAAAAGTTGATTGAGATTCTGCCAAACTGCACCAGTCATTCCTGTGGAATTGTAAACTACACTTCCATCTGCAATTCTTGCAATGAAACACTTGTTCATCACTTCGCTTCTTCCCCTCTTAAAAAGGCTTTCATCGACTTATACTACAATAGTTTGTTAGACTGTCCAGTTTTTCTGTAAGCTGTGTTTAGAGTGCTATGAGTACAAACTTCCTGCAGGTGGTTGTACCAATCTATTACTGTTTTGTCAGCCAGCTGTTTTTATGCCATTTAACTGATCGTTCCGTTGACCAACTATAAATGAACTGGAGTGCAGTCAAAAATTTAATTCTATAGCCCTCAAGCACATTCCCCTTCCCAAAAAATACCAGAACAGTTAATATTATATCCTCATTCATAAAAGCAAAAAATGGCTTATCTAGAACCATTTGTAATTACATCATACGAAAATGCAAAGGTTACGAGTATGTTTTGGTGTTATGGCTATCCATAAGTAATGCTAAATTAAGCTGCTTGGTAACAGTTTCATTGTCAACAGGATAATACATGAGTATCGATATTTAAGTAAGTTTAAATTGAAATTTGTACATTGTTTTTATATTGCCTTTATTCTTCTAGGTTGAATAGTACACCATCTTACAAACTGAATCAGAGTTCTAATAGTCAGACACGTTCAAATTCTATATTAATAAGCTATGTTCATGGTGAAGCTACTACTCATGCTCGGGATTTAAAAGATGAGCTGGTAAATATGGGACTAGAAAGTGTGTTTTTGGTAAGCTATTTATTTTATTAAAAAATTTTTTGTTAAAAATTCCTCTTGAAATCAGAACTTTTTAAGTATAAGACATGTGATTCTGATAATGTTTTACAGCAAATAAAAGTCAACTATGGCAAGAATATGTAATGGGACATTCCTACTTATAGTAACAAAGTAAAACCTAATAAAGATAATATGAAAGTAATCCTTAAAAGTCCTTACCTGACTTCTATTTTCATAAGTAGTCATAAAATGCTGTTAGAAAAATGTTTTAAATGATGCAATAATTCATATTTGAGCATTTTTAAGTTAACCAAAATTAATTTAATAAAAATCATGAAGTCTATCTTTTTTTACGTTCCTCTGGTCCTTATACTTACATTTAAGAAAATGTTACACTCATGATAAAAAGTAAAACACAAAAAGATGTGACATGTACAACAGAAGTGAGTGGGATATTTAATATAAAACTTTAGAAAGCTCTTTTGAAAACTCAGAGGTAATATAAAAATTGAAGAGCACTATTTAAATTTGTGTGTAACTGAAAATAAAATCAGTGAAGAAGAGGTCTCTGATGTTAATGGATTAGTTGACAAGCATTGATGTGCAGACTGCCATAAAAGTTTGATCAGTGCAAAATTTTTAAAAGTTCTTCATTTTGTGCCACAGAATGCAAATGGCAAGAGTTCATTGCAAATCAATTTTTAATTGAAAGAATCATACCATACCATTTTGAACAGAAGAAAAAATTAAAGATGATTATTACTTTTTTTTAATAATGAATAATCAAAACATTGTATTTCAAAAATTAAGAAGAAATTTCTTAGCTGCTGTAAGATCAGTTATTAGAAGCTTCAGCAATGAGAAAGGAACAGTCCTACAGTAACACATATGTGTAGTACATAGTAATGATAACAGAAAATAATTAATTCATGAAAATTAAACACAGAGTTTGATAATATTAAAGAAAACAGATATTCTTATAAATCAAAAGAAAAGCTGAAAATGAAAAATTCTAAGGTGAAATACATGTTTCCAGTTTTCAGCTTTTCAAAGTATTCTCCATGTGCGTCGAGGTACCGTTGCCATCATTGTGGCAGCTCCCTGATTCCTTTGGCATAGAAAGAACTTGGTTGTTGTAGCCACTGGAGGACGTCGTTCCACAGTACTTCATCTGTTATGAATTTCTTTCCTCCCAGATGGTCTTTAAGAGGTGCAAACAAATGATAATCAGTGTGGGGGGGGTAAATCTGGACTGTAGGGGGATGGGGCAGAACTTCCCAGTGCATTTCGGCCAGAGGAGTTCTTGTCACATTGGCCGTCAGAGGGTGGGCATTGTTATGGAGAAGACATTTCGAGACAAAATCCCAGGTCTTTTCTTGCAAATGGACTTTTGTACAGCACCACTCAACAATGTGGATTAGTATTGGACATTCATTGTGCTCCCTTTGTCCAAACAATCCACATAGATAACACCCTTCATGTCCCATAAGACACTTGCCATAATCTTTGCAGCGGACGGCTGCATTTTCCTTTACTTGGGCGGTGGGGAACCTTTATGTTGCCACTCCATGCTGCTTCTTTTGGTCTCTGGGCTTGAATTTTGCAACCATGTTTCATCACACGTGGTGACAGATTGCAATAATTCATCACCTTTGGCTCGAAACCAATTCAGAAGCTGTTCACACAGATCGTCATGTGTGACCACTTCTGATCAAATGTCAGCTGGTGGGAGAACCCATCTTGCACAGATTTTGTAGAGGTGTAAGTGGTCATGAATGATTGTCTCAACACTCCTGACATTGATATACACCTTGGCAGCAGTATCCCGCACTGTTAATTTTCAATCACATTATGTTTCCGCTACGCGGGACTTAACGTCCAAAGGGATAATTCTCAGAACTCGCACAATTCCAAGAAACCCACATAGCTAGGTTACCATTTTCACTTACTACAAAGACTTGAATGCCAAACACTAATCGATTATCGCTCAGATTGGGATCACATGAGGCTTCAGAAGCAGAACTTTCGTCTGATTGGTTGTCTCTACCCGGGACTGAGGTCCAGCCGAGACATTTTCGGTGAGGTTTGAAAAACTCTCACTTAGCCGCAACATTGTTTCCGTAGTTAGGCGGGTCTTCCCTTCAGGCGAGGCTCTTTTTTCTAGAAATCCTCCCGTTTAAATCAGTGCTACCAGAATCTCGTTTCTCAGAAAAGTCCCGTCTAACAGGGACTGTAGCCATGGGAGAGAACCTCTTTATTCGCTGTTTCTCAAGAATCAATTGCTCAACACGTGCAATATTCACTGGTGTGACTGCAGTCAGGCGAATGTGTCCATGCGTTTCATTTGTCACCAGCTCCTGTCCTTCGTGAAACTGTTCACACCATTCGTACACTCTTGTCCGTGACATCATTTGTTCGCCATTCTGTGCTTGCAGTCTTCTGAAAATCTCAGCTGGTTTAACTTTCTCCTTCACAAGAAATTTGATTATACACCGCTGCTCCACAGCCACAGAGTCAGTGCTTGCTGCCATGTTCGCTGCAACGGCTGTGCATGCGCCATATACATCATGCCAGGTGCTAGTTAACTCGAGAAGGAATACATTACGTCACCCGCAATTTTCATCATGATCCAGCTATTCATTGATTATTTACATAAGAAAATCCTGGTCAGCCTTGAACGACCCTTGTATTTACAATTTAAAAAATTACCATATTATGGAAATAAATTGCTATTTCAATGTTACCATTTTTTGCAGTAATATAAATATTTTTCAGCTCTTAAGTTCATACGTTCATTCAATTTAGCTTTGGTAATAAAACTCGAAAATGCCTGTAATCATAATATTTTTATGTTGAATAAATTCTAGAATAATAATAATAAGTAATGTTGCTTAGTTATGCCTCAAACCATCTTTTACTTTTTCATATTGCATCAGAGTAATCATTGCCAAAGTGACATATATAAAAACAATATTTGTTTCTGAACAATATTTTGAAGCAAGTTTGTTGTTTTACCATTAGTATAATTAATAAAGGATGCTTTGGAAGGGATATACAAGCATTTTACATCTTTGCTGCAAATTTCTCTTCCGAATGTACCAATTTTTTTTACATATTTCGATTCTATGGCTCATATTATGGTAGACTGCCAAGTTTGTAAAAATCGCACAAATAATTTTTAAAAAATTAGCTCTACAAATTTTAGCTCTTCAGTGTTAATTGAGTTTGATTTATGTTATTAATATCTCTTTTTTTTATTAAACTTTTTTTATTCTTCCTTTCACATTTTGAAATTTAGTTTCATTCCAAATAAAATTCACCCATTTTTAATTACAGTTCGAAGTCTGTTATCCATATGTCCATTATCCGGAATGATCTATAATCTGTACCTCAAAGCCACAAACTTTTTTTTTGTATGCTTTACGCATGCACATTAATGTGCATTTAAGCATGCGCATTGGGAGGATGTATCTCCAGATATGTTAAAAAATGCTTGGCATAATTTATGGCCAGCTACCATATTTCATGGTGAATTTATTCAACATAAAAATATTATGATTACAGGCATTTTCGAGTTTTATTACCAAAGCTAAATTGAGTATGATGAAGATGATAGCCATGAATTTGAAGGTTTACTGACATCACAAATTAAAGGTGAAATTTTCCAATTATTGGATTTTATAAAGAAATGTGGAGAAGCGGTAATAAATGAAGGTGATATAACAGAAGTTTTTCATTGCGACGAGAATTCCCCAATCATCAATCAATTAACAGATGGTGAAATATGTAGTATGGTTCTAGATCCAAAAAATACCGCTTCCGATAGTTGAAACTTTGTAACTGAACAAGAAATTGTCTGTTTATAGAATTAAAGAGAAAGTATTAGCACAAAAAATAAAGCAACTTAAATTGAAAGAAATGTTTAATAAAGTAAACAAATAAATATTAAGCTCTTTTTTTGTAAATTTTTATACCCTTTAGATCATACTTGCTCTTTATTTCATAAATAACAGTTTCATATTTTTAATTATGTAATTTATGCATACCAGATTTAAATTCGGAAAAACCCATTACGGACTTTGCACTGTATTTATTTTTAGAATTTGTATTTTAAAATAATTTTCGTAAATTTTTCTAAAAAATTTTGAATTATAACCTATACAATTTTTACTATCGTCTTAAAGTAGATGTATTTCTAAGCATACCTGTAAAAAATTAGTTTTTTATTCAAAATTTTCGAAGATGCACATGAATTTACATATTTGGGCATTTTGAAGTTTGGCATCTTGTTCTTAGCAATTATAACGCCAAATGTGGTTTATGGATTTTGTTGCAGTGAATTGCTACAACTATTTTTAACCATAAATTTCAAATAAATTATTAAGGTAGAATTCACTGTACGTAATTTTTTCCCTCAATGATGCGTTATAAATATTTATTAACACTGTATGGAAATCTATTTTCTTTAAATTATACATGATATTGTTCAAATTTTTAAAATTTCTTTCTTCCTTTTTCTTTTAAATATTTGTAAGTAAATTTTTACCTTCGCCGTGTTATCATCTGCTACTTTACTTTAACTTCATTTAAATCGAATTGTCTAAAACTGAGAACGTTCGTTTGATGTTTATTTTCACAATGTCTTTAAGCAAACAGAATGTTGGAATAGTTCTGGAACATTTCTAATATGAAAAATCATTTAGACAAATAGCCAAAATAACTGATCATTCTAAAAGCAGAATTCATTGCATTTGACGCAATTGAAACACATTAGATGCAACTGATATTATTAAAAAATTGACAAGAATGAAAAATTTATGGTAGTGTAACAATCAAAAAATCTTAATTTTTATGTGTCAGCACTGAAAACAATGTAGAAGGAAAGTAGAAAATTAGGGGAAGCAAAAATTTGAAGGATAATCTACTTCAAGAAATTTGAGTGTCCAAAAAGAAAACTCGTATATGTGTCCAGCAAATACCAGCAAATGGGCTTGTGCTAACGGAAAAGACAA